TCTACCAAGTCCCGGCACTTCAGGTGCCCCTCCACCCACTGTCCTGCTGCTCCTGCCCTCTGGCTTGGAGCTGCCCCTGGGGAGCCGACTGCTCGCTGTGCAGGATGTGGGATGGGAGGTTCAAGTACCAGCCATCCTGGGAGCAGCCAGACAGCCATCCCAGGAATGGGAGCAGTGGGGTTAAGGCAGGCTTGCTTCTGCCCTGGCCCTGTACCACTCCTGAAAGCAGCTGGCATGTACAGCAGTGGCCCCCTGATCTACAGGCACCAACCTCACAGCCTCTGCTGGCCACAGTTCCCCATTACTGATCAATGGGAGCCGTAGGAGTGGGGTCCTCAGGCAAGGACAGCATGTGGAGACCCCCTGCTCTGCCTCTCTCAGGGGCTGCAGGGACATGCCAGTCCTTCCAGGAGCACAATGACCACACGAATAATTACTGCAGACATGACAGGTCAGGCATTTTAGAACTCACTGCTCAAAGAATTAAATGTGAGAATTAAATGTGAGCATACGAGAGAAATGAAAGTAATGAAATGCACAGACCCGTCAAAGACCAAGAAGAACCCAGCACCAACAACCCCACGTGTATGGTCAGGAGCTGAGAGGGAAGGACAGTGTGTGTGTGTGTGTGTGTGTGTGAGAGAGTGACAGATTTGCATTGCCAAGGTCCCTCCATCCCCTTCTCTCTGTGTGGAGAGACAGGGTGCAGGAGTAGGGGGAGGGGAGGATGGACACCCTGACACCAGCTCTTCTCCCTCCCACATCCTGCACAGCGCTCCAAGCCAGAGAGCAGGAGCAGCAGCATGACAGTGGGTGAAGGGGTAACTGAAATGCCAGCACTTGGTACCTTCCCAGCCATACCTGTTAGATGTTCCAAGAGCTACTGGTAGGTCACCACTGCTGCCCTATGCCCTAGTCCAGCCCACCTCCCTACTTTCAAGCAGGTCCCTTATCCTGTGTTGGCTGCCTGGTCACTTCCAGGGTGGGCAGAGGTGGGGCTTGGGCTGCTGAGGGGGGATGAGACTCAAACCCACCACCCTGTGCTCCCCAGGCAAATGCCCTATTCCTTAAGCCACTCTAGAATCCATCCCACCTTCCTGCCTTCAGGGCATCCCTTATCCTGCTTTCCAGATGTAGGTGCCAGCTCCATCACTGGGACAGACTGTGTTGGCTGTCCAGCTGCTCCCAGGGTGGGTGGAGGGACTTGAACTCACCACCTTGGGCTCCTCAAGACCAGAGCCTGCACTCCCACTCTGCCCCCAAGCCTCAGCCTCAGCCGGGTGAAAACAAATGAAATTTGGGGAGGAAGGGGGATGGAGTGAACAGGGTGAGGCCTGGGAGAAGGGGTGAGGGGCAGGGTCTCAGAGAAGGGGGGAAGGAGGCCGGGCAAGGGGATTTGGGTTTGAGGGAGATCTGAAATTGAAAGTGATCTTGTGGTTAAAAGGCTTAGAGACCACAGATCTCCTGTGGGCCAAGACCTTTAAAACCCCTCCTCTCTGCTTTAGGGGCCTGGCGAGGACATTTTCAAACATGGCCACTGCTTTTGAGTGGTGTTGTTTTGGGGAGCTCTGCCAGAGACGTAGGGCCTGATTTTTCAGAGGCATTGAGCATTTCATGCAGAAAAGGTGCGGCAGAACAACACCACCCCTCCCAGCTCCAATGGAAATCCGTGAGCATTGCCAGGGATTTCAAAATCGCCTCTGAAAATCAGGCCCCGAGCGGCTCTAGTTAGGCTCCCAGATTCAGGCTATTCATGCCAGGTAGCTCAGTGCACCTCGGTTGTGGATGAGAAGGGAACCAATTCGTCCCAGCCACCGTTCCTTTGAACCGAAGACCAGTGTAGCCTAAACAGCTTCTGTTTCCTCCTCCTCTCCAGATTACGCCGGCCCACCGGAGCCATATATCTGGCGCGCTGGATCTCAACCACACTGCGCTCCGGAAATCTCTGCAGGCTGCCCTGGAGAAAGTGGCTCCCAGGTGAAAAAGTAAGTCTATCCCCTGTGCTCCAAGGGGATGGGAAAGCCTCCAGGTGGTCTGCCCCAGCCAGGGCATGTGAGAAGACTGTTCTGTGCTCTTGTGTTCCTAGTGTCGGTGTGCTGGCCACAGGCAAAGCTGCCTTGACACATGCAGGTGTGGAAACTGCACTGAAGACTTGCTTTAGCTGTTGCTCCAGGGCTGTGTCTAGACTGCATCCCTTTTCCGTAAAAGGGATGCAAATTAGACACGTTGCAATTGCAAATGAAGCGGGGATTTAAATCCCCCCGCTTCATTTGCATAAACATGGCTGCCGCTTTTTTCCACTTTGCAAAGCTCCGAGCTGGAAAAAAGTGGAAACCATGTTTGTGCAAATGAAGCGGGGCAGATTTAAATCCCCCCCGCTTCATTTGCAATTGGGATGTGTCTAATTTGCATCCCTTTTACAGAAAAGGGATGCATCTAGACACAGCCCAGGGTAAAGATCCCTGTCACTCAGGGTACGTCTACACAGCAGCATTATTTCGGAATAACGGATGTTATTTCGGAATAACATAGTGGGCGTCTACACAGCAAGCTGTTATTCGAAATAATGTCGAGCTGGTGGATGTCTTACTCCGACTCCTGTAACCCTCATTTCACGAGGAGTAAGAGAAGTTGAAGGGAGAGTATTCTGCCTTTGACTTCCTGGTGTGTAGACCGTGCCAAAAGCCGAATTAAGCTATTTCAACTTCAGTTATGCAATTTATGTAGCTCAAGTTGCGTAGCTTAATTCGACATTTGCCCTGTTGTGTAGATGTGCCCTGTGTGTTTTCTGAGTCTTTCTTCCTCTTTCTTCCTCCCAGATGAAGTTGCCCACGCACACGTGCCGGCCGTCCTAATGGAACAGAGCAGTAAAATGACCTGGAGCCACCGAGGATCTGGCAGGGTGGAAGAGGGCCCTTTTACCACTAGTGACTGTGATGAGCGCTCTCTAACACAGGAAGAGGGCGGCTTTCAGAGCTGTAGTTACAGGCAGCATAATGGAGCTGTGAGAGTAATGCCAGACTGGTGCCCCACAGCATACGTCTGAAACGAAAACATTTGTTGAGCGACTTCAAGAGGCAACCTGGCTCCCCCTTCATCTAAAAGATTCTGTGTATGGAAAATCCCATAACTAAGGCAGAACTAAAATTCTAGGGGAACTCCCGGCGTAACTCCCCTTATTAACACCCCATCTGTCCAAGGCACCTGTGTTCCTACTTGGGCTGTTTTCTTGCATAAAAACTCTTCACGCACGATGGCGCTCTCTGTATATTTGGATCTCCTAAAGCAGAGGGTTTCTTGGCTAAGCTAGCTGATGCTAGAGCAAACCAGCTCTCTGTAAAAACTAGTTTGGATGAAATAACTTCCTCTCCCTCCAGACCTTGACCTTCCTGGAGGTTCAGACTCCTCCGCCTTTTTACTTTCCCTTCGTGCAAGTGCCAAAATAGCTGATGAGGCTAGACTATGAGCAGGCAGCACTAAAAACCTCTTCTCATGAAACTTCCAGCCCAGTTGGGAAAGCAGATGGCATCGCTGAGGTGTTGATTAAAACCAAACTGAGTGAACTGGAGATGTTATTGGGTAAGAGCAGTTTATAAAGTGAGCCCTTTATAAGTGAACTCCTTGCTCCAAAGGAATGAAATGTTTACAGGGGACCTGCCCATGGGTTTCTGCAGTAAGCATTCCCCCAACCCCTGCAGAAGAGAGCTTCAGCCTCTGTTATCTCAGGAAAGGAGACAGTTTGCCTCTGGGTGTCTTCAACACTCAGTCTTGTCCTTTGGGCTCACTCACTTTGTGTTCATTGAAGGGATGTTAAATTGCAAGTCATTTTCGAATCGAATAGTCAATACATTTTTGCATCATCTATTTGATTAGTCGATAGGGTGCTTCTGCCGTTGAAATGTAGCAACAGCTCTAGGGCTGTTGTTACACTTCAAAAGTGCCGCATGGAGCCCGGGGTCAGCTGGGGACTCCCCCACTGGCCCCGGGCTCCCTGCGGTGCTGCCACTTTGAAACGCTGCGGTGTCAGGCTCCTCACTGCATTTCGAAGTGGCTGTGCAGCATGGAGCCTGGAATCACTCCCCCGCTGAGCCTGGGCTCCACGCCGCACTGCCGCTTTGAAATGTACCCCCTCCTCCTCCCCTGCTCCTTGAGGCCCCTTTCTGATAGAGGCAGCAAGGGGGTGGGGAAGCGTCTAGTCGACTTGACTATCTGATAAGCATTTGCTTATTGGATAGTTGACTAGTCGACTGGTCCTTCACATCCCTAGTTCATTGCACTTCCCTATTGCTGCCGGTTGCTCACAAAAGCATTTTTACTTGCAGTGTCCAGCTAAAACCTGGAGGAAAATGCCTCAGTGGTCTTTCCTCTTGGGTGCATTGCCCTTTTTCTTCCTCAGTGCAGTACAATGAAAGAGATAGTTTAATAACCCACCCGTGGCCCTGAGCCTCTTCCCTCTGGGCTTCCGCCGGATGAGTCAGCCCTCAGCTAAAGTAGGATGGGTCACTCACGGAGGCAATTACCAGTCCCCCCAGGGTCAGCCTGCTCTAGCCTGTATCTGTTTCCATGCCAACTACAGATGTAAACGTTTAACTGGTAAGCCTGTGGGTCCCATTTTGACTTGATACTGTCCCTTTAAGGCCACATTTAACAGCGGCGGTGACAGTCTGTTTCAATCAGAAGCCCTTAAACTGTGGGGTGTGACCGGGCCCAAGCTAGCCCACATGGGGAGGGCAGGTAGGGAGTGCCAGCCAGCCCCGTCTGCCTCCCTGGCCATGGCTTCGGCTTCTGGCCCTGCACCCAGCTGCAGCTGCCTTCCTGGCCTAGTCCCACCCCCCAGCCTTGACCCGTTGATGCAACTCTGCTCCCAGCCCCAGATAGGGCCCCTCAGCTTCAGCCCTCTTACTAGGGTTGCCAATCCCCTGGCACTGGCCTGGAGTCTCCAGGAATTGAAGCTTCATTTTTAATTAAAGATTGTGTTGTGATTATATCACCAAGCATACATCCAACCAAACTTGGCAACCCTATCCCTTACCCCTGTCCATACCCAGACGGGGTAAGGGGGGGCATGACTGAAAAGTGTGGGGACCACTGGTTTAAATTAGGGATGTCTTTTGCTTTTCAATAGCCACATTCTTTTCCTGCTTGGGATTTCAAACAGAATTAGAAGCACTTCAGTACGATATCTTATGTGCTCGGGCGTTACAAGCAAAGTACTTCCTTCCACGGGTAAGATGTGATGAGTTACTGAGCTGCAAAACTAGCATGTTAGAGGAATAACAAGAATGTCTAAAACCTTAGTAAAAGGATCAAGTTCACCCGCATGACACTGCACACATGTGAGCAGTAAATGTAACAATATAGACAGTTCCTTCTTCAGCCCTCCCTGCCCCCCATCCCAGGGAACAGATTAGCAGCTTTGGTCGCTCAGGCCGGGTTATACAGTTATGACCGAGCAGGCATTTCCTCAGTTAGCTATCCTACTTTC